TGAGGAGGCGGTGACCGTGGCGATGTAGGTGGAATCGGCGGTGGAGGAGAAGGAAGAGGTAGCCAACACTGTTTTTTTATTTGTTTGGTTTTTTTTTAATTGGGGTAGCCCCCAAAATATTGGGACATACAAAAAAAAGAAACATTTGCGGCCTGCGGTGCATTTCTTGCAGTTCTGATGCATGGAGAAATGCTCAACTCCTGATGCATGAAGAAAAGGCCTTCACAAGCCTCTGCTAATGTGTACATAGTTTATACTAAGTGACCCATAGGTTGAGGAGGCGGTGACCGTGGCGGTGTAGGTTGAAGCAGCGGTGGAGGATGAGGTAGCCAACACTGTTTTTATATCTACTATTTTGATTATCAATATGGCTATAAGATATCTCTTTGTAGATTAGTACCATACAGAGACATGTTGCTGCAGTAAATGGGGTATGTTTAGGATGGAATTACTGGATCTTATATACTAAGCCTTTCGCTGATAGGTTTGCTAGATTGTCACCCTTCTCTTCCATGTTTACACTTAGAGGTTTACTGGTGTTCACGGGTGTTCACTTTTTTGCACTTATTTGGAAGATGTATGAATGGGTGATTTATATACATTCTATTGATTTGTATGATTTCTTATTGGTTGTTCTATGGGTACATATCCTTTTGGTTTGTTTGATGTTTGCTTTGTGCTTCTGTATGTTACATTAGCAGATTCTGGAGTATACATATACTTAAGCATTAGTATTTATTTATTATATAATTATTATATTATATATTTATTATTATTATAAATTTATTATACATACATTCTAATCCCCCCCTTTGCTATTTAGCTGCATAGCTTATTTACATCCCTCCATCTAGACACTTGGTGTCCGTTCTTGTTAAAATCCCCTATCTCGGGATGCTGTTCTTCGTTTTACACAGTTCACTTTGGGTATGGCGTCGTCCGGTCGCCTAGTTACCACTTATCACCGGTCTCTTCCGTGAGACGTCACTACGTGATGACGTCATCACGGCATACAGCGTTTCCGGTTTTCGCGGGCTATCGGGTTCCTAATTAAATCTTTCACATGTTTGGGTAAGTTTCTTGTTGTATATAATGCCACTATTTAAAATGTATTGTGATCTTGAAAAAGACCCTTAGGGGTCAAAACGTTGATTTTCATCACGACTACAATGAAGTTTTTTGCACCTTAAAGTATTTGAGTGTCATCTTTCTTCAAGACCTGTGAGTGCACCCCAATTTGTCTATATATATATATATCTAACGCGGGTTGCACCGAGGCATAACATTTTTTGGTTACATTTCAGTTTTGGAAGTAAGGAGAGTGCCAAGCAGTTCTTGTTTTTTTGTTATATGTATTTTTTTTTTTTTAAATTGGGGTAGCCCCCAAAATATTGGGACATATAAAAAAAACACAACTCTGTTCCGCACAGTAGCTGTTGACATTATAGTTACGCAGGCAATTTGTTGACTCTAGAGAACCTCCAGCCAATTGCACATCCCCGTGGCAGTGACTTTGCATTCGGATGTCATCCATATCAACTTTCGATGCCAGTTTCTGCGCCTGCCATGGTGACCACAGGGAATCAGGGTTCCATTCCAAACAGGGACCCTGATAAACTGCTACCACATGCAAGGAAGGCAGCAGGCGGGCAAATGACCCACTCCCGACGCGGGAAGGTTGTGACGACAAATAACCATACAGGACTCTTTAGAGGCCCTGTAATTGTAATGAGTCCACTTGAAATCCTTTAACTCTGATCAGTTGGAGGGAAGTCTGGTGCAGAACCACTGACCCGTGCATGCTGCAGCTGAAACTCCACGATCGCCTGCTGCTGCTCGCACAGTCTCATGAGGCGGTGAGCGGGAAGGCCGAAGTTACGCTGCAGCGCAGACAGGCGAGCCGCAGCAGGGTGAGAACACCAAAAGCGCGCACAGCCGCTACCGTGAATGTCACATCCTGTTCCAAGTTGCGGATCAGTCTAGTGATGGCTTCTGATATCCAGTACTCTTTTTTACTGAAGCTGCATCAGGTTCCTGGTATGTGGCCGCACAAACGCTGGTGCTCAACACCAAGGGGCATGCAGTTACCCTGCACCAGACCCTGCTAATCCATTCCTAACTTCAACATCAGGCATACTGGGTCCCCGTCGTCCCACCACCGCCCAGACAGTGTCTGGGTCCTGGTCACCGGACTGCCCACCTCACTGTGAAACTACGAATGGATCGTTAAATTTGATATGAACCCGAACTTTGCAGTTCGGGTTCGCTCAACTCCATTATGGATCCTTTGATCGCTACACATATTACTTAGATAACTGGTAATTCTCAAGCTAATACTTGCCGACGAGCACTGTGGTGTATCACCAAATTAATATATATATATTACACAAGGTTCATCTACATTAAAAGGTATTTATTAAAAGGCAACAACACAATATTATAAATGTATCACAAACACAGCCCAGACCCACGGAGCAACAACCCTTTTTAAATCTATCTATCTATCTATATAGTAACCCCTTCCCCACACGCTTGATCTCACCCACGGTTAGGCCTTCACATCTAGTAATGGCTCACTGCTGCAAATTCAACATCACATCCACCAAGGAAGAAAAGGAAGCAACAGAGAGTAACATGGTTCACCATGCTAGCACATGGCGTCTGCACATCTGCTCTGCAGCACAGCCAAGAAGCAACAGAGAGGAATGGAGAAAGGGGGAGTGGTTATCTCTTTCCTGACTTGTAAAGGTATTGAATTACCCAGTTACCATTTCAAAAGGTAAAGCTTACCCCACTGTACATGAGCTTGGTCACGTGATCCCTGGTCACCATATTAGTTTGATGACAGAATGTCACCACATTCCCTCACTTTTTCTTCTCTTATGTTGAGCACATTTAAAAATAATAATAATTTATCCCTTCTATCTAAACTATGAGATCTGGAGGAGAAATTCAACCCACCGTCCCTCCGGAATAGTTCCCTCAGCGACACAAGTTCTCCTGTACTTTCCTATGGCTGTCAATTCACATATTATACAGAGTGTCACAAAAAAACAGAACTTATAGAATTTAGGTGAGTGTGTGTGTGCAATGTTAAACTTTATTGAAGAATGTATGAGAGAGAGAGAAAAAGAGAGAGAGAGAGAGAGAAACAGAAAAGAAAGAAACAAACAAACAAAAAAAAATATCCCCCTTTTCAAGTTTCTTCCTCATCTATTTCATTGCCACACAAAAATATACTAGCGGCAAAGTTTGTAGGACTGGATGTGATATTTGCAGAATTCCATACTCTCAATCCAGTTCCGACTCCTCCCAATAGAGCTGTAAATTGTCCCATTTTTCCTGACACCCTGCTTTGCCTAAAACACTGTCGCCGTTGTTCCGGACACCTTGGAGGAATAGAAGGATTATTAAAATATAGACTGTAAACTTTTCCCTTATTTGGAGTATCTTCTGGCCGTATTGCCTGTCTCCTATCCCTACTGTGATACAGCGTATACTTATCCATCCTGTAACAAGGATCCACTACGATCTTCTGTTGACACACATCATCATCCTAATACAGCTTTGCCTTGCTCTGTGGGAACACTAGATCTCATCATTAGAAAGGAATAGCTAAATGGAAGACTGGAAGACTGAGAGAAAGAACAAAACAAAAGAAAAACAAACATACATACGGATGTAGAGAGCAACACAACATTATGAGTGTTATTGATTGCTGGGACCCCCCAATTGGTCAATCTTTTCCTCCTCTCTCAACTGTTCCCTTAGCGCTTTCACGTCTGCCTCCAATCTTTCAGTCTGTCTCTTTAGGTCCCAGTAGTCTCTATTCCCTTCTTTATTCCTCCAATTATCCCAATTCCGTCTATTGGTCTGATGCTCATCCCATCTATGGTTCCTTCTCCAATTATTCTCCCAATAACTGTTTCTGTTGTTTCTCCGTTTTTCTCCCCAATTGTGATTTTCCCAGTTAATATCTGTCCTTTTTAGCCTCTCCCAGGTATTTTTATTATTCCAATTATTGATTATCTTAGGCCCCTCCCATCTATTCCTCCAATTATCTCCCATTACATTCCTATGGTCCCTCTGTGGATCTCTCCATCTTTTGTCAAAGGCCTGTTTTGGTCTCCAGTTCTCATTATCCCTCTTGTTCTGGGGTACATCCCACCTCTGGCTTCTCCATTTAGCATCTATATCTCTACCAGAGTCGACCTTGAATGTTCTTATGGCTGAAACAGAGAAGGCCTGTTCCGAGGAAGGATGCTTGATCCACCAATTGTCAGCTCTAGTTAGTACCATTTCTAAGTCTGCTGGTGTTGGATCAAAAAGCCTCACAAATTCTTGACACTCCCAGGGAAGGGCTTCCATTACTTTAGTAATATGTTGTGGTGAGCCCAAGACCAGAGGCTGTTGAGGTTGGTGTCCTACCTCTCTAGGACCATCTGCTGGCCTCATCATAATATTAACTATTTCTTTCTCTATGCTGAGTAGATAGAAAATCGTTGCAGCAATTCTTCCTGCCTGGTCAGACACACTGTTATTAAATCCAAATAGTCTGCTAGCCAAAGGACCTATAGTATATTCTAACAGTTCTGTCCATTCTTCTAAGTTAAGACCTCCTTTTTTTGCTCTATTTGCTCCCCTCATAAACCAATGTGTAAAGGTGTTAAAGTCGTCAGTTGGCATACTTCCCCACCATTTCTGGAAATTATCTTTGTCTGTGATTGACATAGTCCTTGTCTGTCTAGAGAAGCTAGTAGGCATTTCTCTTACATTAAAATGTTCCGTTATTATTATAGGGGCTTGTGGGACACAATTTACAATTGGCACATTTCCCTTGTGTTTTGTTCCCAGCACTGGTTCTTTACTTTCAGATATAAAATAAGACTGGTCTGGGCATACTCTAGGAATCTCCTTATCCCATTTTTTTGTGTTTTCGTTAATTTTCATTTTATATTCCATGACTAGGTCTTGGAGTTCAGTGATCTTAGCACTATATGCATCTCTCTGTTGTTCTATTTCTCTTAACTCCTTTTCTAGTTCCCCAACAATTGTAGTTGTTCTCAAAGCTGCAATTTTTAAACAATCCCTTTTGTCCATTGCTTCCTCCATTTTATTTGTTGTTTCCAAATTATGCTGCCGTAATTCTACAACTATGTCTATTAGGCCTCCTATTGTGGCTACAACAGCTTGTGTGACCAAAATTTTTCTTTTCTTTGTTCTATACTTTTTGTTATTTACAATTTGTGTTAGAACATCCATTAATCTCTCTTCTTTTTCACTGTCTGGGTTTGCTGGCTCTGGAAGCTCATATGGACCATCATGTTTTTGAATATGTTTCCTAAAGTACTCACGTACGTCTGTGGAAAAGTATTTGGTCCCTTGAAAAGACATTCTTACTCTTTTACTCACCCAAGTAAGAACCCAATTTAAATCAATTTGCAACTAAAGTATCACGCTTCTGAATAGCCAACAATAGTTGATGTCTATTCAGTAGGCCAGGTGTAAATAGAGAAAACAAAAACAAAAACTCAATTACCTTTGTATACTAAACACAATGGGTGGGGAACACAATATCCACAACTCTACTGTGAAGCTTGACTTAGGATTTGGCCTAAACACACGCCCAGTTTTGTTATATGTAGCACAATGGACTAGTATCCACAATGCAAATTATATTTACCTTAGTATGGTGAAGGTAATACTTGCTAATTAATTTCAAAACCAGTAGTGCCAAAATTAGCATATTAAAATATAACAGCAAAGCCTGGAGGGTAGGAGTTATATCTGAACTAGGATATTCAAGACACATAAGCTATAGTGTATTAAATTTCTCTAGGCCTGTACTATGATAGAATGCAAGCCTGAAATAAAAAAAAAAATTATAAAAGGATTAATATATTCAAAATTGAGGCCTATGCTGGTAGTGTAATCAAATCAGCATTCAAATACAAAAAGAAGCCGCATGGAAGCCTATTGTAATGCAGGGCTAGGCCTGTACTCTGATAGTCAAAACCCAATAAAACTCAACTCAGGTATTTGAAACACACAAAAAAAAACTAATACTATATTCAAAATTGAGGCCTGATACCCAAGCTTGTATATTAAAAAGGAGGCACAAACTAGGATCAAAAGAATCAAATCAGCATTCAAATACAAAAAGAAGCCGCATGGAAGCCTACTATAGTAGATTATAATGCAGGGCTAGGCCTGTACTCTGACACAACACAAAACACAACAAAACTCAACTCAGATATTTGAAACAACCTGTATTAGACCTGTGTTTTATGTATCAAAATAAGATAGTATAATATAAAGGATTAATATATTCAAAATTGAGGCCTATGCTGGTACTGTATTACAATAAAGGATTAAAAACAATAATATATTCGAAATTGAGACCTTTGCTGGTAAGGCCTGAAAAAAATACTAGGCCTGAGCTATAGTAGTCAAAACACAACAAACTCAGGTATTTGAAACACACAAAAAAAAACTAATAATATATTCAAAATCGAGGCCTAATGCCCAAGCTTGTATATTAAAATGGAGGTCTGCACTAGGATACAAAGGAATCAAATCAGCATTCAAATACAAAAAGAAGCCGCATGGAAGCCTAGTATAATGTATTAAAATGCAGGGCTAGGCCTGTACTCTGAAACTAAACTCAGATAATTGAAACCCACAAAAACAACCTGTATGATACCTTTGTTTTATGTAGCAAAATAAGCTAGTACAATATAAAGGATTAAAACAAATAATATATTCAAAATTGAGGCCTATGCTGGTAGTGTATTAAAATAAAAATAAAAATGAACGCCTGAAAAACTACTAGGCCTGAACTATGGTAGTCAAAACACAACAAACTCAAGTATTTGAAACACACACAAAAAAAACGAATATATTCAAAATTGAGGCCTGATGCCCAAGCTTGTATATTTAAAATGGAGGCCCGAACTAGACTCCACACACAATCAGCCCTTAATATCCCATGCAGAGGATAATTAAACAAAGAATTTTTATTTTTATTTTTTGTTTCTCCCCCTAAAAAATAAATCTGACTATCTATTAATGTGTTATTACCTCATAAATAACCTTTGTAGAAGTCTAAAATTCGTGGTCGCCAAATGTGGTGTATCACCAAATTAATATATATATATATATATATATATATATATATATATATATATTACACAAGGTTCATCTACATTAAAAGGTTTTTTTTAAAAGGCAACAACACAATATTATAAATGTATCACAAACACACAGCCCAGACCACCGGAGCAACAACCCTTTTTAAATCTATCTATCTATCTATCTATCTATATAGTAACCCCTTCCCCACACGCTTGATCTCACCCACGGTTAGGCCTTCACATCTAGTAATGGCTCACTGCTGCAAGTTCAACATCACATCCACCAAGGAAGAAAAGGAAGCAACAGAGAGTAACATGGTTCACCATGCAAGCACATGGTGTCTGCAGACCTGCTCTGCAGCACAGCCAAGAAGGAACAGGGAGGAATGGAGAAAGGGGGGAGTGGTTATCTCTTTCCTGACTTGTAAAGGTATTGAATTACCCAGTTACCATTTCAAAAGGTAAAGCTTACCCCACTGTACATGAGCTTGGTCACGTGATCCCTGGTCACCATATTAGTTTGATGACAGAATGTCACCACAAGCACTAGAGGACAGCTTTTGTACCCTGCTCCCTCTTATGCTGTGCTGGTGCCTCTGTGTGACCAGTGCCTCTTCCTCCAAACTGCACACGTCACTCGCATGACCTTGATTCCATGTGGGGTCTAGGACTTCATCATCCTCCACATCATCTTCCACCCACTCCTCAACCCTGCCCTCCTTGCTGGTATGCACACTGCAGAAAGCCACAGCAGTTGGTACCTGTGTTTTTCCAGCATGTAAAGTCGCAAAGGACATATGGAAATTGTTCTAGAATTGTATCCAGGCAACAGTTTTCCCTATAAACTGACCCCTCAGTTTGACTTGTGAGCGTATTGCCCCAGAATTACAATATTGTTTAAGTACCTCTTAGCTATTGATAACTGATTTAAATATAGCAGCTTGTTATCTGGTAGCTTCTAGTGTAGAATCTGTTTTCTATCACTTAGATCTGTGAAACAAGTGTTGTAGGTGTGAAACAATATTACAAGTGACCGATGTAGTAAATTTGAATCAAAGTTAAATTTGCAAAAAAAAATTCTCGCCCATCTTCTGTGGGTTATTGCATTTTTAAGATGTAGACTTTTTGTATCACACTAGCCATGCACAGGTAGATTGTCTGGCACGTTGTTTTAGTGTTTGGTTTTTAACTTTGTAGTTGTGTCTTTACACAATATAGAAATGTATATTAATGCTTCTGTATATGATGCGATCACAATAACACTTATTTTTCACTTTAAAAAAAAAATCAGGCTAAACAAAAATTGGTAATTAACAATATGACATCTGAAAAGCACATGAAAGGATGCTGTATGATTTAAAAAAAAAAAAAAAAAGACACTACATGTAGGTCCTGTTTACTAGAGTGTGTAGTCATGAATGTAACCAGTAAAACTTTGTTTTTACAGCCACTGGTTGGCCCATACATATTTTAAAACTTGTTTTATTTTGTTGTAGCATTTTAAGTTTTAAAACTGCAATGTGACAGCAGTATTTGATGATTCTATTTGACTCTCAGATATGAAGTGCACCCCACTAATGTACTATCCCAATAATGTACTACTTAGCACTAAAAAAAAAATTGACTTTTTAAAACTCTGATGTAACCATGGTATTTGAAGCTTCTATTTGACTCTTAGATATGAAGTGCACCCCACTAATGTACTAGTTTGCAGAATTCTTTCCTAAGCTGTCCCTTTCAGCGGCAGCATCCTCTCCCTACACTAATAAGACCTCATATGCGTGCCGCGCTACGCAACTCCAGCTTATATGTAGAGGCTGGGTAACATGCTACACTGGCCAATCACAGGCATGGCTGTGATGGCTTCTAAGGGCACACGAGTCAAACACTTGTTGATTGGCTGCCCTGCAGCCTTTGAAAACGTGCCATTAAATGGCCGAACACCGAACTCCAACCCGAACATACAGTGATATGTCCGTGTTCGGGTGCCGGGTCCAAAAAACGTAATGTTCGGTACAAACCCGAACTTTACAGTTCGGGTTTGCTCAACTCTACTTGTAAGTTAAAAAAAAAATAGTTTTTCTTGCATTGCTACGGTCGATGCCACTTGCACCAGCTTTAATTCACTTATTTAGAATTGTTTTCCTGTTTGTGATGTTTTTCTTGAGAGACAGATTATATGATTTGCAATTTGATATAAGATGTGTGGTTTTCCAAACTGAAGAACGGTTACTGGCGCTACAGACTGGATGTATGGTCAAATTTTTAATGGGAGCTCAAATTTAACAAGAGAGGGGGTATCCCTAAGTAAATATATACATAGAAAAGTGACATAGGATTTGCCCAGAAAAATGGTAGTAGAATAATATGTTTAAAACATAATTTTACTTGCCAAATGTAATAACTTGAAAAAATAATATTAAAGTATATACAAAATTAAATAAAACATTAGATCCTGCAGATACAGTGCCTGAGATAGGCTACCAGGGTTAATATTAAATAGATTGAGTGAGAAATGTTTGGGAATAAATAACGGCAGATACCAAGTCAGAAAATGAAAAGCTGCAAAATTAGTGTCTGTTTTGCAAGGATTTGTTGGCTTGGTTATACTGACACAAATTCACCTTAAATTAACTTTGAATTCTCACTTTAGTGAAAAACCCTGATAATCTTTCAGTATGTACGTTTGGGATGTACTAAACTATTTATAAGTTAAATTGCCATGTCTTCAAACATTAAAGAAATTGAAGGCTGCCCAGTTTGTTTGTTTTTGCTCAAAATACTAACTTGAAGAACAGAAAAAAACTGTAAGAACATTTAAAAGAATGCATTTTATGTGCTTTGTTAATAGACAAATGACAGTTAAAGAGTAACATAAGCCTGAGGTATTTTGTGGTTTGCAAATTCACAATGAAAGCACTGCATCCTTTTGAATGCGTGCATGTTTTACGCCTACTTTTTACAGTCATGTGTCTTGTTTTAAGTAAATATATGCTTTGATCTATTTAAATGTTTTTATTGAACAGTGATTTTTTTTTTTTTTCTTAATGACCTGTCCATTCCACTGAAACATTGGAAATACATGTAGGTCACTAGCTTAGGAAAAAGAATGAAAACAAGTTTGACTAATATGTTATTTTACAGAGCTTTGTCAGATAAAGCAAGATAAAAAATAAATTGGTGTTGAAACAATGTGGGAAATCTAAAGTTGTAGACATTAGTTAATCCTTTTTCTCTGTCTTGTAATTCCTGTGCCAAAATAATTAATTAAAAGTGGAAGCTGCCATTGTGGTTTTGCTACAACAAATGTAAAATTAAAAGGAATATGTTTGTTTCTTGGTTACGATTCTACGAATGAATAACTAAACAATCACTGTAACAAGTAATTTGAGGGAAAGCTAGCAATGAATAAAGTATAATTTAAGTTTTTAGATAAATGCCAAAAGTAAATTCATAGAAATTTAAATGCATAGTATTATAGAATGTGACAGCAGATAACTGTTTCGCCCATCTATTCTGCCTAATTTTCTAAATACTTTATTTTTTTATATTTCTTAGTCTTTATTCAGTTTTCATATATTTAAGACATACATTTACAGGTACAAAAGATATACGAAAAACAGTTTCAATATTAAATTCATTTTATATAATAGGGATAATCACCATGGGCGTCCGCAGGAATTTTTCCAGGGGGGGGCATAATTGTAATGACATCCATGCTTGGTACCTTTTTGACAGTGTCATGAAAGGGAAGGGGCATAGCCATTATCACATAAAGCCAGGGTGAATAGCGTTTTCACAACTATGGTGTCAGGAATATATGTTTGTATTCCTGACACTATAGTGTTCCTTTAAGCAAATTAAAGGACCATTCTGGTCACCATAACAACTTCACCTAAATGAAAATGCTATGATGCCAGGAAGCCCCTGGGTGCTCGCTTTCCTTTAAGGGTTAAATCGCTCTCAAATGGTTTAACCCCAAAGGCTTCCTCCAGCTCCAGGTCGCTCAGTGGTATTTGGCTTCTGAAACAGAGTGTCAGGAAGTGCAGATTGACTTCAGGCATGGGTGCCGCTGATTGGCTTTGTGGTGAAGAATCATACTGCACTCCTGTGGGACACCACTTTACCCAGCCCGGCCACTCACTGAAGGACCTAAAAATCAAAGTACCCAGGAAAGAAAAGCCTTTGAAGCCAGAATTATTAAATGGTTTAACAGCAAGAAGAGAGGACTAAATATTGATTTGGGATTTCTGTCCCACTACCAACACTTTACATGAACACTCTCCCAGCATTATCTTACTATTCTGTCATATGTACCAACACTTTAAAATGCATTCCTATATGTTTATTCTATCTATATACATAGTACTATGTGTAGACCTATGCTTTCCCATACTCGTATGCATGAATGCTTATGTATATTACTATGCATTTATATTTGTGTATATGAGTCCACGTGCATGTATGTATATGTGTTTATGTATATGTATATATACATGTGTTTATGCGTTCACATATACATATTTCTGTGTGTGTGCATGTATAAAGTGTATCATCCTGTGCACTGTCTGCTTGTTTGTTTTTCTTTTCCCTCTCTCCCCCCTACTCTTCTCTTCAACAAGATATTTATGACCCTCTGCTAAGATGGTGTCTATTTTCTAACAAACCTGTGTCTTATCTACACTCATGTCGCTTTAACCCCTGTATCACAACTCAACTTTGAATTCTATGTGTTGTTTTGCTCAGAAATGCTTCAGACTTGAGAAAGGGAGGTTCTCCCGAAAGCTTGTCATTAAAAAATTCTGTTAGGCCAATAAAAAAGGTATTACAAGATAAGAATTGTATCTGTTTTTTACATCTACATCACTGGACTAATACGGCTACAATCTCTACTTGTGTATATATATATATATATATATATATACACACACATGCGTGTGTTTGTACTTTAGGGTGCACACCCTAATGCAATAGGCTGCGCACGCCTATGCTCACTTCCCTAATCTATAGGCTGCCCCCCCATGCCTCACTCCCCTAATATACAGGCTGCTGCCCCCCAGCCTCACTCCCCTAATCTATAGGATGCCCCCCCCTCACTCTCCTAATCTATAGGCTGCTGCCCCCTTCACTCCCCTAATCTATAGGATGCCCCCCCTCCTTCCCTAATCTAT